AAGAAAGCCTTACAGTTCCGGAGTTAATTCTAAACCAGTAAAATCTTACAAGGAACTGAAACAATTAAATCTATAATACAACTAATAAATAGTTAAAAAGTACAAACCTAATCGTTTATCTACAGGGAAATTTGTTCCAGATAAATAAAGAACGATAATCTGTTTATAGATAATCCGAAATATCAGTCAACTCAAGTCCAAACAGAAAGGTAAATCAATAAGGTCTTAAAACCTTGGGGTTAATTAAAGCGGGATTCTAGACAGTGTATCAGCTCTTTTTCAATTATCGTAAAGTGTATAATTAAATTCTGGGATGTTGAACATTTTTTTCATTTGTCTGCGGCATGACTGGTTGACAATTTTCTACACATTGTTTTGAAATTTCGCACTATTCGCGATCGTATCTAGCTCAGCCTAGTCAGGAGAAGTTGTAAGGAGTTGTACTATATTCAAATCTGTCTTTAAAACTATTTAGGGAACACTATACCATAACAAAAACATGATGGAAGAACTGAAATAAAGAGAACATACACCTGACTGTAGAGAATCGGAGCAATAAGGTCACATGTACATTGAAGTAGGAGACTGCTGTCATAGTGAAAGTACATCAAATGAATTTTTACCTCAAATATTGCCTCGTGGAGAAATTTATTAGATATATCTTCATCAACAGTAATATAAAGATGCAGTGAGACGTTGAGACAATACTGTTTTGAACAGACCATATATTCCATCTCATTGGTTATTTAATTCACTTGACAGTAATATGATCATCACAGTAGTACAAGCCTTGTTTATTCAGTTTTTGAACCCAATCTGAACTTCTTGGAAAATATAGGCTATTGTTTAATAACGACTATCTCATAATTGATAATGTTGAATAAATAATTTATTATTAGGTAGCATTATTCTGGATCTCTTTTCAAGACTTCAACATTATATGATAATAAGACCATTCCAGTAAGCAAACTAATCATCGCTTCATCCAATCGGCTATGTTGACGGTGAACGTTTTTATCCCATAAACTTTTCATTTTTACCTAGTATATTTTAATGTTTGTATCTGTTGCATGCCACCTGTACAGTTAATTGGGCATAATTGAGACGGCTAAAAGACATTTGTAAAATGGCCATTCCCGTAAACGTCATTACGTAATTTAAGAAGTGAATAACGTTAAAACCATCAAGAAAAATCTTGATTTGGACGCATATAGAATTCTGAAATATACTAATAATAATGATGAATAATCTTAGAGAAATAATAATATTAAAACAAAATACTTCTGCCAGTTTAATCACACTTCACAAATATTTGGATATATTTATTGGTACTTTTGTTACAACAGTATTGCATCTCCGATCATAAAAGTAATCGCACGATAAGTAAAAATCCAGGTTTGTAGCGTGTAAACTCAAGACATTATTAGCATAACTTTAAACGGAACATTTGAGTCTGGTCACTGTCTACCAAAGGTAATTTACAATGGAGAAGTTTTATCTTGTATATTTCAGATCAATATTTATTCATAAACCTTCACAAGTTTACTGAATTCGTTCATTAATTAATACAGATTCTCTAAGAAATCTAAGAGTGGACAAATTTAAATCACTCTTAAAGAATATTTTCAAAGTACAAGTAGGTACGCTGTAAATATTTTCATATTAAAATTATTAACACATTAACACTGTATTTATTCAACTTTTGATTATGACGTACAATTAAGTAATTATTTCGTTCGCAACATTGACAAATACACTGGTGTGACACTTACTTGAGACGGGATACAAAGTGCATGTAACAATATATTTCAAACAATCCAACACTAAATTATCAAAATCTCCCGAAGCCTAATAATTTATGAGTTTTAAATCTGGCCTTTGTAATCAAAAAGGGTCAACAGATAACCTTCATATTTTTTGACAACCTGAAGCAGTTCAACTCCTTTCGCAATTTCGTTCTTCAACAAATTTTAAGCGCGATCTAGTGAGTCATTTTTCTTTCTAAGAGTCTTAGCTTTCGGTTACTTTACACAATAAGATTATCCTAAATACTGTAGAAGTGTCATTTCAAGAATTAATAAACATCTATTAAAAATTAGGTTTCAAACAGCGCTTATTTTCCAGATATCTAATTTTAATCACTGGACAATTCAATCTTCTAAATTTCAAATCATGATAATAACTCGAAGGAACCAAACTTATTAGCTTGTATGTGGCTGAAAAGGAAGAGACAAAATACAGTGATCTCATCCTCATTCTACAATTAATATCTTTCTAATATTTTTAATTTCTGAAAGAAACCAATAATATTAAATACTGAAATAAACCGATAGGGAATTAGACTGAAGAAACATTTCAATTTTGATTAGGTGATAACTCTATTAAAGTGATCAGATTTGTAAAAACTTGATACTTGAATTAACTGACGTTTCACAGACATACTGATAAAGATTTGTTCGAATGATCAATAAAAATATTTGTCATTCTTGTCATTCAGTTACATCTATTTATTAAATCTACTGATAGCCACCATATAACTAAATTCCCGCGAGTGTCGTTTATGTTCAGATTGTAATTTTTAGACAAAAATCTTATAAAAAGGCAACGGTTGGCCAATTTGTGACAGGGCCTCTATCTACAACGATAATTTAACCTTTTTGATTGACTTGTAAGAAATATAAGCACGTCAGTGACTAGGTTTTTTTTAACTAGATGATAAACATGTAATTATCAACAACCTACTAGATCAACCTACATAACTATTGGGCATAAAAATAACGACAATTAAAGACATCGAAAATTAGCAGGAAGTTTAGAGGAACGTTATGCGAAAGCTATTTTTGAAGCTCTCCTACAGTAAATTTAGATAATGGTTAAATTTTGTCAAGCCGTTTTATCAACTTACTTAACAGACAGTGTTATTCGAACAGTAACAATTCGCATATTTATTTGTACTATTATGATCACTATCACATCTGCATAAACGTGTATGCTTGATCACGTGACAGACTCTAGCTAAAATGTTGATAGCTTAAATATCGCTCGATGAATCATTCTCTTCCTTATGTATATATGTACTCGAATCCTATTAATAGCCTTTGTCTCGCCTAGCTGCATCTTATTCGACTTGAATATAAGTTAGACTCTATATTCGCTCGTCGGCACATACATTCGTCTCTCTGCTTCAAGCTCGCTAGATCTGTTCGTGACCTTGCGATCTGTGCTATCCGCTAGTAAATTGTAGTCGCCGCTTCTTATTGCCTTCTGATTTCAAACACTGTTGAGATATATAAAGTAACGGTTATTAAGGTGATTTCTTAACGAACCAAAGCTATTACATGTTTTAATATAAGGAAAACAAACAATTGTTTAGTAATGACACGTGAAGTATTAACAAAAAAAGTAGAATATCATTATTTGACGTATACCCATCAGAAGTCAATTAACAAAATCTATTATTGGAAATATGATAAAATCGCATAAGAAGGTTATCGATCAAAACAATGTTAGAAATTTGAATAATACGTAGAGAAATTCTGATCATTGGGGATATCAAGCGTTAAGTGGTGATGAAAACAGGATAATGGATAATACATGCTTTACTGTCTTATTTCATCTAATTAAATACTTAATAATCGTTATTTTGTAAAAGAATCGAAATATTTTTGTAATATAAACATTACTAATTACATTTGAAAGTATATTATAACTGAATAAAAATTATCTTATTTAAATTAGTTGCTAACATTGATAAAAATCAACATAAAGGGATGTTTGGGGATTAAACTGATTTTATGAATAAGATTCAGAATATACCTTACGAACAACCGATATACAAGGTGATAAAAGAGAATGACATAGAATAAAATAGGATTATACCATTTACCTTCTATGTTTGTCAGTCCTACTACTAGATCACTGACATCAGGGATAAACATAATTTGACTAATATAGTTCGATCAACTTTAGTCTGTTTGGTTCATATATCAAAAATGAAGATATTTTTTTAATATAAACTGTTCACAGGTTTCATTGAGTTGTGGAGTTTGTTTCTGGGATTATTTTTTTCAATGGCACTATAGAGTTCGAAGTAGGGAAACATACTGGAATGTTTAAAAACGCTCTAGACATAAAGTGTTTATGAATATATACATATGCTAACCGTTGGATTCATAAGCTAGACCACCACTGAAAACCTGCAAACATTGGACGGTCGTCTCATCTTAGTATGGGACTCCTCAGCAGTACGCACCCCCTATCTCGTACTAGGAACTCGAACTCGAGACTTTCGGTCTGGCGTGCAAACACTTAACAGAACAGGATCCCAGAAATAAAATTACTACAATCTCCAAAAATCCTCATTCTGACATATGTATGTATAAAGTATCCGATTCAGAAGTCGATTACAGTTACTTTCACAGTACCAATTTTGTCTGTTGAAACTATTAAGTCAAAAAAATCAATGCCAGGAATATACTCACTAGCAAAAGTGATGGGCTAAGTTTTGAATTTGCAAATATTGAAACGAACTGTAGTCTGTAAAAAAATTGATTGGTTGCAACAATCGCAGATAACCATAAAGAAGTCATACACGTTCTAACGTAATGTTAAACATGTATGTAATAAAAAAAAACGAGTGACTACATGTCATTTGGACTAACAACAGATTTCTAGTAAACTAGTCTATATTTAATGTCTTCAAGTCCCTTCATTTTGTGGTTATGATGAAGCCTAACTCAAAACCTTCATGATTTTCAACCTTTTTATCTCTATGGTCAATCGTAAATTAGGGCATACCGTTTTTATCACTTGGTTAATGGACATATCCACTAAGTTGAATATGATTGGTCGTGTTCGTATGTTTGTACAGTTGAATTTTGACCTTTATGTTGATCAGATATCACATTATATGATGTCTCAATTTTTTCAATATTACAAGCCAATGGTTATGTGTGAGTGGTCACGATCTATAAATAAAACCCTAATATTCTCAGTTTATTAAAGATGTTTGGCCTAAATTTACCTCCACACACACATCATCCATGATAAGGTAAGTCAATCGTTACGTTACGACTAAAAAAGCCATGGCTAAACTACAAGGTAAATTTGATACCATTTCTAATATTATAAATGATTATGTTTCAATTTACTAAGGATGCTTTTTTAAACTTAAAGTACATCAGAGCTTGCTGCCATTTCTTTAACGAATTTACTGCAATAATTCATTATTTTAAAATGGATAACTTTTAGTGTAGCTGGATTTACACTAACTAAATACAGAGTGGTAACTAACTGCATGTTTATCTGGTCATTAGTACTGATCGAATCCTATCAACCAAATTTTAATTTGTCTACTAGTCTAAGCGACTATGGTTTTGATATCGTTAACGGGCAGGTTAACATGGTATTATTTACTACCAAGTGAACAACTACTTTAAGTATCTCAATCTAACTGGGGGTCTTTCGCAGCCTTCATGTCTCATTTGTAATGTTCCTTAATGTTAAACATATATTTTCATTAATTGGATAATAATTCGTAACTTTTTGGAAATCAGTAAATGGTTGGTGTGTTGTTTTATATTGACTTGAAAACTACCGGAAATAAACAAGGTTAATTTCTTTTAATTATCTTCATAGTTGAAAGCGTGAGTCAATTGAAGCTAGACCACCAGAGAAAACCTGGAAGCACTGAACGGTCGTTTCGTCCCATTGTGGGACTCCTCAGCAGCGCGTATCCACGACCTCACCTCGCGAGATTCGAACCCTTTTAATTAACTGATTAGAAAACACCATGACAATTACATCACTAATAAACGATTAAATTAGGTTCAGGACTGTGTAACAGTTACTTTATTAGTCTATCCATATAAGTCATAGTTTTATTTCAACAAAAGGTTGACGAAGTATAACCTATGTGAAGAAAGCAATTCATAAAACAGTTTCAAAATCTTAATTTAATCGAAAAACATTTTTAATCCATCAAAAGTAATAAAGAATTAGCGTCGTACTTGTTTACTATTCAAAGACAATCATTTGTGAAAGAATCTGTTTACCGTATTCTATAGTTACTTATCTTTTTTTCTCATAATTCTAAACAAATATAAACCTAATAATTGTGCACAGAGTTTTAGTTTAGTTCTTAAGAGTTGTGTTTAAAACAGAAACTCACCGAATTTTAAAATAAACGCTAAGAAACAAAGATTTTCTTTTAATAGAAGCACCATGATTTCATTTATATCGTTCTATATCTGTATGTTATTTATGCTTTCTTTTCTTAACCATATTCATTAGTCAACTATATTAGAATACACTTGGTATTGTTTGTTTGAATCTTTCCATTGATGTTTAAGACTGCAATTGATCAGTCTCTTACTGGCATATGTGCATACTGTGCATATTGCCTCTATATAGCCTTAATTCACAAGCATTATAAGCAAAGATGGATAGTGGCTAGCAGTAGAATCCAGGAATCGCGTTTTGTCCGATGGGAACAATCAAACTAACAATACCAAGTGAATTCAAACTTCACCCCATTGCACAAGTAAGTGACTATCAGGACTCAGTAGCTGAGTGGATAACGCGATGGCGTTTGAAGCGAAAGGTACTGGGTTCGAGTCTCAGAGTGAAAATCAACAAGTCTGAGATGCAGGTACATCCAGCTGACGAGTCCCAAATAGGACGAAATGCGCGTCCTGGATTCCACTGCTAGCCACTGTCTATCTTTACTTATTAGAATAGGTTTTAGTTCTGTAGGTTTTCAGTTTGTAGTATACTGTAAAATCTGACTTTATCAAGAAAATCGTCAAAGACTTAAAAAAACAGGACATACATTTCGTTCTAAAAACTGAACAATATACAAAAACTATCTATAGTCATGTAAACCATGTAATCACTAATGTCTAATTATGAGAAAATATTTCTTAAGTTCTAGTGAAAAAATAATGATCAATAGAGTCCAACTATATTTGGCGTAAGACAGGTGTCCCTGACTAGAATGGTTGATAGTCACGTGACATATTGAACTGACTGAAATTAGGAATGTGTGCGTATCGAACAGTAAAATGTATCTCTTCTATATTCTCATAGATAGAACCTTTTTTTATTTGAACACTCGAGGTAATTAAATTATGATAGAAAATTCGTATTTGACCTAATTCAAAGTTTTAAACAATTAAAAATAACTCATGATTAGTTTTAATGAAAACGACATGCTAAATCGATATTGTCGATAAATTCCAGTAGTTAAAATGATTAAGAGTTCCAACTTACCTACATAGTATATCCAAAATAACACTATCCACACTTCAATATAGATAACACTTGATTAATAAATTTTGGAGTATAGAACATTAATTTAATCAATTTGAATACACGTTATGTTGTGTTTGATTTTAATTAATTAGAAGAAATGTAAGTCAGGAAGTGCTGAACTTAAACTTTAATAATGATAACTGTTTTGCTTAATACAATTTATATGGTTACAGTAACAAATCCTTTTTAGATCAGGTGTTTTGTAGAGATTTTAGTATTTTCATAGTTGAAATAATGAGTCAATTGAAGCTAGAACACCATGGAAAACCTGTTTAAATGCCCTGGCGCGAGACTGGTAGGTCCTGGGTTCGAATCTCTTGAGTGCGGGATCGTGGATGCGCACTTCTGAGGAGTCCCGTAATAAGACAAAACGGCCGTCCAGTGCTTCCAAGTTTCCCATGGTGGTCTAGCTTTCAATTGACTCATGATTTCAACTATGAAAATCCTTTTTAGCAAAAATTAACGTTGACTGTTTTTATATTAGCGTATACGTGTGCATTTCTTATCTTAATCGTCACATGTCTGTAACTTATTTTTGTGTGACTATCAACATCAATTAACGCTTGATTAAATCGAGTTGACTGACTCACCTAATCCATTGCGCGTCATTTTGTTTTGCTTCTCTTTCATACCAACGATTGTACAAAATATACGTATTCACAATCTCATATTTGACTTATTTTATTCCGTTATTCATCAACGTAATTCACGTCAGTGATTAAATATGAGGATTGACGATATGCATGTTTCAATAACAATCAGTCATACGATATTACTGAAGTCAGATATCGGGCCACTAAATACTCTTAAGATTTATTTACTAACGTATTGCTTTATGGTATTTTTATATTCTCCTTACTGTAGGCTTCTCTTTGACTGATTAACTATTGTCGTGTCTTTTTCGTCTAATAAATTACTACCAATTAACCATGTGCCCGTTATTCAGAGTGGTCTTGTATTTCATATGTATACTTATATAAATTTTAAAATTTGAATACTATAGTGTAGCCTAAGTTATTCATCTGATATACCTAGTTTTCTGGTTAGCAGTTTTGGAAAAGAATCAGAATATCATACGTTGTAGCGATTGATTTCAAATCAACAATAAGTACTTGAGTTGTTGGATTTGTAGTTAGTGAAGCATAAGTAGGGAAAGAAAATTTCTCTCTATAGATCACTAAACACTAAGATGACCATAAATGTTTAATACGTTTTATCACTTCTCTTTGTTAATTACAGACTATTTTTGACTCATTTTGTGAATAAATCATATCCATGTGGACAATTCTGTTGTCTACTATTAATATAACGCTTGCTACAGCTTTAATGCTTAGCTTTATTATCATCTATCTGTTGTACATCCAAAACTCAACAAAATTACCACCTGGACCAACCAGTTGGCCTTTAATTGGATATACATCTTGTTTAGGTAAGTGAATAGGTAGTGTTTGACCATATCATCAATAGGTTTTTTTATTCTGAAACTGGTCACCTGAATTACAATTTATTAGATTAGCTCTAGTTTATGATATTTATGCATACAACTCTAATATTCCCCTGTAATTTCCCCAAATGCATGAAATAACATGAATTGTGTGGACAAAATCTTATAATTAATATTATCAGGGATTCCATTCAACATTCCATATAAAAGCTAATTTTAAGCAGAGAAAATTCAAACAATGAGTACAAAAATGAGTTAAAGACTCATTTCGCTCTAAGAACTATATTCATTGTTCATTTATATTTTTGCGTAAACAATTATTCTCAACAGCCTGTGCCTAATAGATGTTCTGATTCTAATTTTTATCGTCAAATCTTTCAATCTTGAGCTAATAGTCCAAAGTGTTATCAACATATACATAAATCGTTGAATGTTTTCAAAAGGGATTCATTTAAATTATTTGGAAAGTCACTCAGTGCTTGCAGATTAACCTAATAACTAGGATATTTATAATAGGATATTAGATTTAAATTGTTCGGACAATACTGTTGATTTACCTTCGTCAAGATTATCTGAACAATATGTATATGTACATTCCTGTAAGGACTTCATAGATCAACGAAAATTAGTTAGCTAAATTCAATAATTGTACAGTTTGGAACTGAAGTTTTCCATTTACATTCTATGGAATTCATTCACTACATCATATTTAAATGACACAATCATGTGAATTAGTATAAATTAATTTATATTGAAATCATATACTGACTTTTAAAGTCCTATATACAATATTCAATTTATATAAAAAGTATTTTCAAGGCAAATAAATAAGTGTTGATTATTCGAGCTAGATTATGTACAAATATATGTTTCCAAGTGATCATTTTATGATCTACATTTTATACTTAACAGCATATTATGATCAGCAAACTATATCAAAGGATTAAGTCACATGAATTTAATTTATAAAGTATGCAAATAAATATAATTTATTGAATGGAAATAGTGAAATTAACCAAAAGCCAATTAAGAAATTACTGTTCAATTAAGCTACTTTATACAAAAACAAATGTTTTTTTGCATGATTAAACCGTAACGTTCAGCCATTGATAATTCATGCTTTGCCAGGAGGTATACGAATGAAAGTCCGTATGTTTAAGTTCATGAGAAAAAGGAAATAGAAGGGAAGATGCAACCCCATGACTCAATAAAAATATAATAAAGACAATGTACAATAATTTGTAGATAGAGTAGGGTTAAAAAAACATTGATCATTATCAGAAGGGGATTTGTGGAGATTTCAGTATATTTCAAAGTTGAAATCATGAGTCAATTGAAGCTAGACCACCATCGAAAACCTGGAAGCACTGGACGGCCGCTTCGTCCTATTATGGGACTCCTCAGCAGTGCGCACCCACGATCCAGCACCCGCGAGATTCGAACCCAGGACCTACGAGTTACGAGCCAAAGCCCTTAACCTATAGACCGCTGAGCCGGCATCCAACGGTGTTAATGTCTAACTTCAACTGATCCACGAATTATGAGCGACACTTCACCAATTGCCTTCAGTGAGTTGTTATCTCACAACAGACGTGGTTGAACTCCACTGGTCACTGCTTCCCACTAGAACTCCAGGACATGTATCTTGAAGTCAGTCACTAGTGAGCATATGATTATAATCAGAAGGGGATTTGTGGAGATTTCAGTATATTTCAAAGTTGAAATCATGAGTGGGTGCGCACTGCTGAGGAGTCCCATAACAGGACGAAACGGCCGTCCAGTGCTTCCAGGTTTTCGATGGTGGTCTAGCTTCAATGGACTCATGATTTCAACTTTGAAACATTGATCATTGTTATTATTAACATTGTTACAATAGCTAGTTACCATCTTAATTGTTAAATATTTCTTGAGACAATATTTTTAATTCTAGTTGATGTATTTCTTGTCCATGAAATATATGAGTAAAATTGTTACGTCCTTGATCTGTGTACCCATTAATATACAGAAGACAACTTGTCTCAATCTAGATTAAGGCCTTGACACAATAAGCTGACTGATTCAACCTTGAGACTAAAATGACGCGAGTTTGAAGTGAGACTAACTGCCTACGGTAGAGATGAAAATTATTACACTACCTGATTGGTTGATAAGATAGATAAAAGACGAGCCAACTGCATCACCACCCGATTTATTCCCAATCCCTATTCACACCCCGATTCGGTTCCGATTCAGATTGGTGCAAACGGACTCATGAATAAATGGATGACTAAAATGACCACAACGCACAATGAGAAAAATACAATTATGTCCAAACTAGGCATCAGGGTAGAAAAATATAGTTCTAAAGGTCGCGTTTAAACTACAACAGCTTCGAAACAGAAAAGAGTATGATAGTGAATCATACATCGAACGAAAGCTTGTAGAATAGACTTGGGACAAAAATAAATGTTGGTGTTTTAAAAACTTTGAATCAAGTGAAATAACGTTCCCAAAAATAGCTTCCGTAGTTTGTCATGGATTCTTTGTTTCTCTGTTCACATTATAAATGTTTGCTAATTCAAAAGTTATTAAAATTTAATTATCAGTTAACTCTTGTTTAACAGATTGTTATCGAATGTCTTTTATTTCTTATGACTAGACTTTCTGCTTAATAGAAAACCAGATTTACAAATTATTGAGTGTCGTTTTTTAATTATAAACTGAGCTAACAAACCACAAGATCGTTGGATTACAACAAGGGAGCCATAGTTTCAAACTCTTCAATTGTGGATACTCATGAGATGACATGGGATTCGACTCAGGGCATTCTAGTTTTTCTGGTGTATATGATGGCGCTCACGTCTAACTTCAGTTGTTTCGAAATGTAACTCAACTACTGTTTATGCAGTAGCTCAGATTACAGCTATGATTGTAGCTACAGAAATCATTAAGAAGCGCATACCATCTCTTCAATACAATATAATTAATGTTACTATGTGACTAGACTAATATAATAAGCTGAAATCTATATTAAATAATGAAAAACTTGGTGACATATGAACTTGATAATAATTTTCTCAAGTCTTATTACTGAATGTTTCCAATTTTATAAATCCATATTTTTATTCAGAGATGAGACCTAGTTTAAATTGAAGAAACGTTCAATGATCCGCAAATTCATAGGCATTTCCTCGATGCTATCGATACTTTTTATTAATGAACATCAAGATATGATAAACTTAATTTGAAATCTTCATTATCATGAAGTTGAACTGTTGAATATCATTTAAACAATCGAATCTATTTTATGAAATTAATAAAAATTATGGAAACAGAATCGTATTTAAAATTTAGTTAACAGAAACATTCTTTTACCATTTTAAAATATTTCTAAATGACAATTCTATTTGAAATTGGTGTTCTTTACCTGATGAAAACGTTTTAATCTCAGAGGGATCAGTCATGCCAATGCTCACTAATCTGCTAGTTGGACATCACTTCATGATAAGAAATCACTTCTTATGCGAAATGATTTTTTGAAACTACATCTATTATTTTACATAAAATTATAATCCATTCCACTCTTATTTGATAGGTACTGATGCTTTTCGTAAAATTCAAGATTTAAATAAAACTTATGGCGATATTGTATCATTTCAAGTTTTGGGAAAAACAATAATCATATTGTATAACTATGATTTAATACACGAAGCAGCAAATGGGAATCGTTCGAAAGTTGGACGATATACAATGACTGTTAATGATTTATTAGCAGAAAATTCAGGTGAACTACTCTGAATAGCTATATTGTTCGTTTTGTTATATTATACAGTATAACTGTAGCAAAACGTGAATGAGAAAACAATTTTTGGTGATTAATGCTGATAAATCCATAACTTTTCAATAAAAACATTGTCACGAATATATCATTATTTGTTAGGGTTTGAGTTATCCTGTTGTTATGTGGACCAGTCTTTATTGGTTTGTGTATATCATCTGGGGATATATCAAGGCGAACCAAACAGGATCCACATGCACTAACAAAAACTGATCAAATTCATTCCTGGATATCAATAACAGTATAATGAAAACCTTTATTATCTACAATATTAACGCCATACAGACTTTTGATCATCAGCTAAGTGGATAATCCACATGTTTTTGAAGGGAAAAGTGTTCAGTTTAACTCCTAACATGAGCATCAACATTAGGATGCAGACGCATTCAGCTGACGAAACATAGGACGAAACCAGGGTCCTGAATTCCACTACTAGCCACAATTCATCTACCCTAAATGATGTCACAATTGGAAGTATTTTGTACACAAACTGACTATTTATTTAGTAATATCTGGTTTTTTTAAATCCTGATTTATTCTGACTCACAAGTTCGGTGAACTAATATTTCAGTTTATCTCAGCATTTATATTAATTTATTCTTATAAATGACGATGTCAATAGCAGTCAATCATTACAGTAAAGAACTTTTATATCAAGACAATGAATACGTTACATATGTAAAATCAATTTTAGAAATAAATAAGAAGTTTTCTGACAGATTTCAGCACCGTGAACATAGCTTATTACATTATCTTTCTAATCAAATGTTATTTTACACATTTCTGAGAATAAGATACTCCCAGAGTTAAGTGCACCATATTCACTTAAACTTAGTAGGTATCATTACCAAGTTTTGATTTTATAATTTTGAATAAATTGAACATTGTGTAGATTATTATACATGTCGTAAAAAAACACTAATTCATTACTGACACTAATGAATCAATTCAAAGTAATTATTTAAATGTTTCTCATAATTACATGTCAAATGAATTCGAACTTCAGTAAAAGTAATGACTTTTTTCCTCTTCTTTAAAAACTATGTCACAGGCTTAAAAGCAATGAAAAATTTCTTATTTATTATGCAATCATGAAGGGAAGAAAGATGAAGTTACCTTATGAGTATCAAATCAAAATGATAAATCAACTAACGAACTTTTTTGAACCTTGACGAAATTAGATAGTTATTGTATGTACTATGCATATCCAAACACAGCTTAACTCAATATGTGATGACTAACAAATGAGTTGGTCGAAAAGACGAGCAGGGTTGATTAATAAGGTCCAAGCATAAGTCTACAATGTCACTGATTATCAGACTGAGACTTATAGAGTAATATAAGTCTCTTTGTTTAGTTTCATAGTTTAATCATAATCTATATTAAGAGATATTGAGTGATATGATCCAAAATCAATCTCCAATGAGCGGATACATTCACTCTTCATCTTTATTTTACTGCTAAATCTCATTTCATGTCTTTCTTATTTTGATATCATTCGTTTTTTTAAATTGTATTTCAAATTCCCCTCCAATCGGAGAATTTCGCCAAAAGGCAAGCTTCCACTCGAGAACAACTGTATTTCAAATTGTTCCACTCCAATAGATATTCCTAAACTCCTTATTTACATCTTGTTAATTTTCTCACTCATTATGTCACTGTCACGTGTGGCTTGACTCACTAATTTATATTGTTCAAATTACTATGTAATTTACAATGATATTTTTTAACGTTATGACTATGTGTAAACAATCAACAGACAGGTATGGTTGTTTACTGAGTATAAGATTTATTTTAACAGATACAGTATACCTAGTACAAACTATTGAAATGATGAATTTATCTTATTCTGGAATGCTACTCTGATAACTTTCGAATTGTATGTTTTATTCCTTTCTACAGGTATTTCAAATTACGATACACAAAAGGCACTGGAAATGAGAAAAGCTTTTGTACGTCTTGTACATAATAATATAAAAACAACTGAAGAACACGAAGGTAATAAATTGCAGCCATTTATATCGCAGAATATAATCAACGCTCAAATAAATGAATTGATTCGACAGTTGAGAATAAGACAAGGAAAACCTGTCAATGTTTTGTAAGTAGTCAAATAACATTTTCACTAAGAAATAATGTTTAATCAATTACACTTAAAATCATTTATTACGACTTACCTTGAGATTATTCAGGGGTTTGCAATTTTCACTTCTGAAAAGCTTGGATTTACATATTTGAAACTAGGTATTGACACTATACAAACCAATTAAATCGTACTAAAATGAAACTGTTTCCGATTTGAACATTATGGTTCAGTCACACAAATAGCGTGTAGTATTCTTCAACTCACACTATGAGGCATTTTACTTAAATACCAAACAAACGTCATTGGAAGTATGTGAAACAAGTTCTAATGGACTGAATCTTGAATAGAATTCATTCTTAAATGACAAACTATTCCTTTACTTGTAAACAGTGGATTAGTATAGATTGAACTAAGTTAGTGGTCATCCAGATTAAGAAGGTAATGAAACAGTACATTTAATGAAGGGATATGGATAAATTCGGAAGTAAATAAACTTGTGGTTCAAACCAATATCGAAGTCTGAATCTTCAATACGAACATTGAGACATTTTTACTGTACGAAGCTAAAACTTGGAGAAGTATTACAACCATCATCAAAAAAGTACGAGTATTTATAAACATTTGTCTACCCAAGATACTCAATGTCCGTTGGCCGGATACCATTAACTACAGCAAACTTTGGAAGAGAGTAAGTCAGCTTCCAACTCAAGAGTAAATTATGAAAGAAAATGGAAGTGGATAGGACATACATTGAGGAAGTCACCAAACTATATCACGAGGTAAGTGCTAAATAGGAATTCTGAAGGTGAAAGGAAAAGAGGAGGACCAAGGAACTCGTTGCGCCGAGAATTGAAAGCAGACATCAAAAGAATGAATGTCAGCTGGAAACAACTGGAAAAGATTGGTCAGGACAGAGTTAGATGGCGAATGCTGGTAGGCGGACTATGCTCCTCCACGAGGGGTTACAGGCGTAAGTAATGTTTCAAGCGAAAGTCACTGTAAGTAATAATCGCATACTATTTCGTATGGAATCGGTAATAATAATATATCTCATTATAATTCGGAACTAATGTAATCAAAAACTTTCAGTTGTTTTTTATCAACTTTAAATTGATCCGCGAAAATGATTTTGATTTCAGAGACTAACGGAATCTAAACAGGAGACTGTAAATTGGTTAACATACTACTGAATTGATTGTAAAAGTAGCTAAATATTTTTGGTGCAGTTAGTTTATTTAAATATTTTTGGCTCAAAAAATGGAGTGTTAATAAGTACTGAGAAAATTGAATGACCGTTAATTTACAATTCTCAAAAAGTACTTGATTCTCAACGAAAGAATCTACGTAGTAACATAATATCAAATACACAAATTTAAAATCGGACTTATTCTATGAAATAGGGACGCCCAACAAGATTTAAAATTTATTTATACGAATATTCTTTTGTATTAGAACGATTAGTGTGACAGAAATTGGATGTGGAATAAAAAGAAGACATTATTTGTGAAAATTAGATTTTAAATAATCTCAGCGATCAAAATTTATTTGATAATTTTAATTTCAACCATCACCCTGATGACGTCCATCGTTAATAATAATTGTTTACATATTTCTATCAAAGTCGTCAAAATTCATAATAAAAACCTTATGTAGTGGATATCATGCATATATTTTACCACCCCATTGAAAAACAGTTCTCATACAATTATTTTAAATTATTTGTTACCGTGAAGGTTATTCATAGAGGAATAATCAAATAAGTTTAGTTTTCAGGTATATCATTTGATATTAATAAAAATTTTATTCACAGATCAGCAACGAATCTAATCCTTACTTAGCTCGTCTTAACAGTAACGATAACGATACTTGGTTATCACCAGGAGTTTTGGGAGAGGATGTGGTGATACGATTTCGACCTTCTGAGAAAATATGGTTTTTTAAAAATAAAGGTGTCAGATTCATCAGGATAAAGCACCCGATGTCACCTTAAGTCAAAAGACTGTCATGGCTCCATAGAATATTTATATGTGAATATGTTTAAATAATAAATGTTTGTACCATTGATAACAATTAGAGTAGATGAAAACTCACATTTAAAGTAATAAACTCAGCAACAGCTGTCAACACTCAAAACATATGGACACAAAAGTGACCATATCAACGTTGTCAGACAGAAAAGAAAGTGATCGAACCAATAAGAGACCAGCTAGTTTCCGATTAACCAATGAAATATTAGAGAGATCATACAGTTAAACGGCTAGTTACTCATGTGCAATATCTTTATAATACACAAATCTTTCAGAATAGCTGGTATAAGGCTTCACAAAGGAAATTAGGTAATCTAACAGTTTATAGAAATTGCCAGGGTTCTGTCTAACTTAGCTAGCTGATGAAAACTTGTTTCGGCAAAGTTCTTTTACAATAAAGTATTTTGAAACTTTAAATGCAAACTAACATGTTGTTCAACACAAAACCGATAGGTTTAGAGATTTTGAAAACACTAAGACTAACATAGTATTTCAGTTATGATTACGAACATAAAACATAAAACAAGTTATTCACCTTGATATAAAGACACTTATTCCTTCATAATTCATAATTTGAAAATTATTGAATAATGGTTAATTACGTTTTTCTTTCTTCTAGACAATTGATGAGATGTACAGTTTGGAGAATTATTTGGAATTTCATTTTTGGAAAAGAGTGTCAATTAACTGATAAACAAATTTCTGATACTTTAGATGATATTTCATCGAATAATTTACAAAATCAACTTTTTCAAATAAGACAACTATTGCCGAGATTTTGGTAAGTTCCAAGCTCATTCTATTAAGTACAGTCAATAATACACGTTTTAAACTTTAAACTTGATACATATGATATTAAACATTATATAATCAGAGCGATAAAAGAAATGAATTCAATGATGAACCAGAGATTAAAAATATCGACTAAGCTTTCGATTAGCTTTCGATTAAGCTTTGCTGAATATATAGAAGCTTTGCTTAATCGAATAGTCAATAACTTTAATAGTTAAGGATCTATGTAGTAAAAATTGATTTTCTTTTTTTAAAATTTAATGGACAAATAACAAAAAATAGTTTCGTGGATCGGTTCAAGTCAGACATTAACACCATTGGATGCCGGCTCGATGGTCTAGAAGTTAAGCGTTCGCGCGAGAGACCTAAGGTCCTGGGTTTGAATCCCAATTGCTGGATCGTGGATGCGCGTTGCTGAGGAGTCCCATACTACGACGAGACGGCCATCCAGTGCTTCCAGTTTTTCAATGGTGGTCCAACATTCATGAATTCATGATCTCAAGAAGAAATAATTTGTCTGAATAATACTTTATAAACTTGAAGTTGATTTAAATAGGAATAGTATATTTGTAAAATCTCAGCGAATGAATTTGTAGTAAATCCAACGTTTCGCCTGACAATAATAATGACACTATTAGAAACAATTCCAAAGAACTAGATATAAACAAAGTTGTTGTGAATCTATCTGACAAATATTTAAATCAACATGAACTATCATTGCTTAAAAAAGGACTCAATTACAATTTGAGAAAAACACAACTTATGGCCTCTGAAATTATTCCGATTATTGAACCTGCCTTAAATAATGTTCCGACTGATCAAGCGAATCCAGTGAGGTTTAAAATCTCAAATGCATTATTGAAACAAAAACCGAATACACCTAATCTATGTAAAGAAGAAATGTATGCTTTAAAACAGTTACGTAAAGACAGAAAAATTGTTATAATGAGAGCTGACAAAGGAAACACCACTGTTGTTATGAATAATTCTGATTATGAGAAAAAAGTCAATGAACATCTCGACACTGGACCTTATGAAAAGATCAAGATTAACAAATGTAGAGCAACTTTGAATAAGTTGAAAGCCGAAACAGCCAAAATGCTACAGGCTTTAAAACCGAAACTAGGACCATCTCTATGGTTTTCTCTATATCCGAAAGGCAATAAACCATGCAGATTTTATGGACTACCAAAAATACATAAAACAGATGTCCCAATAAGACCTGTTGTTGATTATAACAATTCACCAACCTACAATCTTTCTAGATACCTAGCTAAGATTCTTAAACCATATGAAAGCACAATCAAACACGGAATAAAAAATTGTAATGATTTTAAAGAGGTTATCTCTAATATCCACATTGAAGAAGATGAAATAATGGCAAGTTTTGATGTTTCCTCATTATTCACTAATGTTCCAATTAAGAAAACATTAGGTGTTATATATAATCTATTAGATTCTGACACTGATCTTAAATAGCGCTGTCCTCTGGTTACCTCGGATATTATTAAAGCGTTAGATCTATGTTTACGTTCAACTATATTCAGTTTTCGAGGGGATTTATACGGACAGACTGAAGTTGTAGCTATGGGATCACCGGTTTCCCCAATTGTTGCTAACCTCTTTATGCATTCATTGGAAACTAGTACCATCTCAATGTGTTCTCAGGCACCAAAAATATGGTTAAGATATGTAGATGACACTTTTGTCATTATAAAACGAGACCATATGGACGAACTGTTTAAACTTGTCAACAACTTTGATGAAAAAATCAAATTCACCAAAGAGTTGAAATCTCCTGAACACAAATTACCTTTCCTAGACTGTTTAGTTAAAAGGAAAGATAACGATAGCTTAAAAATTAGTATATTTCGAAAGCCGGCAAATTCAGGAAAATATCTAGATTTTAAATCGGCACATCCACACTCGACCAAAGTGACAGTGGTCAAAAATATGATTACAAGAGCTCAGAAACTTGTCACTGAACCAAACGATATGAAAAAGGAAATAAATTTAATTACATCCAGCCTAATGATGAACAATTATCTGAAAGATTTTATTAAAAGAATAATTAAGAATGAAAGAAAAGACGGTATGGATAATACAAAAAGATTACAGAAATAGGAATGGGTTAACACAGTGGTGATCCCATATCGGAATGGTGTTTCAGAAGATATTAGAAGAATCTTAAATAATCAAAATATAAAAGTATTTTTTTCGAACAAACAATACCCTAAGATCAAAGTTAGTAAGAATTAAAGATCCAATTCACAAAGAAGAACAACAAAATTGTGTCTATGAAATCAGATGTAGTGACTGTAATGCAACGTATGTAGGTGAAACATCAAGACAACTGAATGTGAGGGTGAAGGAACACAAACAATGTTTGAAACACATTCCTAAATCCTCAGATGATGTAAGGAAACTAGAGGATAAATCAGCGATAGCATTACACTCGGTAGAATCGGGTCATACAATTGATTTCGTTCACACAAAAATCCTTCAAAAAGATTTTAATTCTTACAAGGAAAGACAAACAGCTGAAGCCCTATACATTTGGGCTAATCCAAACAATATTAATAGGAGGGATGGAATACAATTAGCAGTGCCATGGCAGCTAATCATTAATAAGTAAAAACCTGAAATCCTTAATGTTTTTTATCTATTTCTTATTATCTAAATGACAACAATTGCATTCGATGATTCTAATCAGTTGTCTCATCGGAATTTGTTAAACAATTCACTGGAACATTAAAAAATGACACATACATACAGTTTTTATAAAAATTTACACTCTTCAAACTTCACTCTTTTATATTTATTTTTATTTTGTTTAATTATCTACATTTTATACATGCTGTAACAGATATGATTCATATCATAGATTACAAATTGTATGTTTCCTTATAAATTCACTGATAAGAGACAATATCTAATGTGAATGTAATATCTCCTCTCACCTCTTACGTTTTTTATACAATATGTTATATTAACGCTTATCATTTCACATCACACATCTCTTACACACTAATACATATACCCAGTTTAGACTTTGTTAACATTGATTGGATGACCTATTCAGTGTACAATGAACCCGGAGAACCATGTACCTATTTATATTCGATAATTTTGATGTTTGATTATAATTCCTTGAAAAAGCTTGGACCAGATTGCCAGGCGAAACGTTGGATTTACTGCAAATTCATTCGCTGAGATTTTACAAATATATTATTCCTATTTAATGTCTTACATCAACTCGGCGCTCAAATACTGTGAAACTATTAGCTCTAATTTAGACGAGAGTTCTTATATATTGAAGTTGATTTGATTGTACTTTTAAGTAAACTAAACAACTATGAATTTGGAAAATTATTACAATATTCATATAATTCCGATTTTCTAACAAATTACGACACATGATTTGGCAGAATTTCGGAACATTTAAACAAATAAACTTTTAACATAACTCCAGCTGGAAAAATGTAAGTTATGAAAGAATGCGAGCTTATTGATACAATAGTTGTACACGTAACGATAAGTCAGTTTATGGATTATCTATTTTGATAAACACTGAATGTGTCCGTAAGATTATTGCTTTCAGCAGGTTGATCTTTTCGAAAAAATTAATCAGATTTCAGTCTTATATACATAACATTATTATACTTATACAAACAATATCCCTAATTGTCGATTATTTATTGATTTTGAGGAATCATTTTGCAACTTATTAGGAAGGTGATGGTTTCTAATGCGGACTGATCTTAGACCATCATCAAAAATCGGAAAACACTAAACAGCTGTTCCATCTTAGAACAAAGCTCGTCAACAGTGAACATCCATGACCCCACCACAAAGGATCAAGCGAAAGCTTAACTTCTAGGTCACTGATTTTGAAGCCAAATGATTCACATATCGAAATTAAATCGACCTGCAATGTTGAGTAACTACTTCCCAATGACATTGATTGGTAACTGTCTAACACCCGATGACGTTGAGATCTACTGGTAATAGCTATTCGCTAGGATTTCGAGAGTCGTTTCTGGAAATCAGTCATTAGTGAACACATGATGATTACTACAGAAAGTTTATGGAAAATCTCGAATTTCATAGCTTACATCACAGACTGATACATGTTAAACAACCTCTGTCACTGGACAGATGTTATTAGGAAATGACACAAAATATATTGAGACCATCTCTCTTATGTTCTTAAGAAAGAAATTTGCGTCATTTTATTGAAATAAAAAAATGATAATTTATACACTGAAGTATACTAGACAACAGTGTGAATTAACTACTCTACTATTGTATTATTAACGTATTAAAAAAGTATCTATTAATCTATATTGAAGGGAATATCTAATAATTCAAATAACAAATAATTGCAGTAAAAAATCATGTTTCACTTAAAGAAACTGGTAACACATAAATTTTAGGTAGCCAAACGATCACAGTTTTATTCACAATTTGAGGTCTTTCATTTGGTTACTGAATTATATTGGTTCCATACTACGTAAAAATTGATTGGAATGATGAACGATAACATCTACATAATATAGTGCCCAACCCTCCTCCTTTATCCGGGCTTGGGACCGGCAGTAGCCCCCGGAGGAGCTACAAGAGGAGTTGCCGTTTAACTATATTGCATTATTATTTAAGTTAAAATATTAAAAAAATAATCATTTTTACTTTGTTTACCAATTTTTTACTTCAGTGTGAATATTTTTAAACATTCTCAATTCGCTAGAAAATTATTCGAAATTGAAGAGATAATATATAAACACAAAACTGTACGACAATTAATTGATAACAATGTAGGTGAAATGCATAATTCGGACTCATTATTAGGTCAACTAATCAATGATTCAAAATTGAATTTAACTAGTAAGTTTATTTGTATGACATTTACTGGGTTCTAATAAGGTATGGTTGTTAAGTTAATTCTTGAACATCCTAATTATGTAGGATTTATTAAGATATTTTAGTAGTAGTGTCGTGAACAAGGAAGTCAAGTGGGGAGAATCAATTTATTTTTACATGCAAAATTACAGAGTACTTTCATAAAATACAAAAAACCATACCTTGAATGCGTAATTTGCACGTCTTCCGTCAGTTGTCCTTTATGAGCTTCATGATTCTCTCAATCCCGTTGATATTATAACTCCTTTCTCTTTCCCTTTCTAATTTCTTCAATTTAATTTTCTCAATCTTCTGTTGGCATGCATTCCACATCTTATTGATGTTATATACTACTTACATCTATCAACATAAATAGCATACACCACTGTATTATTATTACTATTATTATTATTATTATTATTATTATTAGTAGTAGTAGTAGTAGTAGTAGTAGTAATAATAATAGTAACCTTTCACGTCTTATTGTACCACATAACTTACAGATTTACAGTTCGGTTTTACCTAGTAAATTCCGGATACCTTATTTGTCTGACAAACATAACATTTTTAATAGTTAACTTTTAAATGATAGAGTTCGGTCCGTAGAATAATTGTCCCATGTGAATTTAATTTGTTTGTTTGTTTGTTTTTGATTAAGTTACTTGACAACTATAACAATATCAACTTTCTTGTTTGACATTTCAGAGTTTCTATAAAGAATGTGACTTTCATTCGATTTACCTTAAAATTAATTTATTTTTATCTATTTCGAATAAGTTCTAACCGTTTATTCACTTTCAAAGTAAATCACAGATTTTAATCGTTCATTATGTGATATGATTCGTGATTTTCTTGTTTACACGAAATCTAAATGTCTGTAATATGTTTCAGTAATAATAACACCGATACATCAATGAAATGGATGCAGCGTATAATAATTAGTTGTTGAATATTAACTCTTATTGAAGTTGAAGAAATCTTGATCAGTTGGATTCACTGGAGAAACTAGTCTTTGTTTATTTTTATTTTAAAATGGCTAGTGGTACTGTTGTGAACGAGAGCACAGATGTTGTCAACCAACTGTATTGTAACACATTACAGAGTTTTTTGGTAAAATGTGAAAACTATACGTTCAATCCCATATACGTTCAATGTCCATTAATTAACTCAGACTTTATTGTTCCTTCATTTTTATACCAATTACTCTATGTTCCCGTTCTCGTCTATTCGGTCTTCTCAAACTTCTGCTGTCAGGCATTCCATTTCTGGGTGGCGTTATATACTACTTATATCGACATAAGTAACACATACTCCAATACCATTAAACTTATGGGATATTACTTTTCCAGTTTCATATCATCTATAAAAATTAATTTTAAACAAATAATACATAACTCTTCTCGTTTCTATTTTTTATTTTGGTTAGAAAATGATATTTCACGTCTTTCATTTGAATTTATGGCTGCTGGTACTGACACCACGTCTTTAACATTAACATGGGCGTGTGATTATCTAGCAAGAGCTCCACCGAAAGAATCACTTAAACTAAGCTCAGACCTTATTGATATGATACATCGTTGGGCTAGTGTAGTTCCCCTGTCACTACCTCATATAGTGCGTGAATCTTTTAAGCTCAAAAATTATTATATACCGAAATCATCAATTTTAATATATAATCTCTATGCTGTACACAATAGTCAGATAAAAAAATTGATTAATACGGAACAAAAATCGGATGAAGTCCAAGAAAGTAATAAGCCAATACCATTTTCACTTGGTAAGTTATATTGGGTATTTTTATCAATCCATATTTGAAATACTTGTTAAGAGGTTTTTAAATCTCCGAAAATATTTTCTGATATAACCTAGGCGATTATTAGAAAACTTTCAAAATATATTTAAAAGCTATGAATTAATGATCAATCAAAACACTTCAAATATTATGCGCAGTACCTTCGTAAACCTAGCTACCATTATCCCGGTGTCATTGCTACACAAACAGTCAAGGAAACGATTATTACCTATAATCTTTATTAGAATTTGTTTATATACTCATAGAATATTCTACCAAAGTTGGATTAGATTGAGTGTGAGATGTCTATTTTCCTCATCTATTCTCCAGTCAATTAAATGATACATGGAATCAAGTTGTATATCTAACAGGAAATTAGCTAATTTTCGAAATTGTCGCGTTCTATAGATTTCATGGGGACAGTTGGAGACATCGAATGTACAAGTCGGATTTCCAGGAGCAGTCTAAAGCCATTTAAGTGGTTAATAGGAAGTTCGTTTGTAGGTTGCGTCATCAAGAGAGTTTTCTGCACCACCGCATTAGCCACAAACTAATGTCACAATTTTTAATATAGTAACTGTCTTTTTGGATGATTCTCGTAAATTTTTCTATTTACAACTTCAAGTATAGACTCAAACACACCGTACAGGAAGCCACTAACTACAACTCGGTTTTTTTTACATAGTTCCCACGTATTTGGAGTGCTTATCTAGATTCCGAACATGGAGTGGTATGAGCTGAAATCATTTTGTATCTCATTAGTTAATAAACCACTCATGCTTAACATATAATCTAAACACATTGTTTGGATCGATAAGGGCAATCAAATACCAAATGAAAATAGATTTAAATCTGGTTGTTGCCCCAACGGAAAGCACGATAAACGCTGTTCGCCCTGGCAGGATACCATGCAATTGCCAGGTAAATTTACTTGAAGATTTCCAAGACTCCTTGTTTACAGGTACTTGGCCTCAGTAGGCCTCAGTAAGCCAAAAGAAGAATTTTGAAAATCTGTAATAATAGATGATATTATAAACAAACTGTGGTGGCGTAAACTTTTTGTCTGAAAGACTTTAACATTGATCACGTCAGTGATACCGTTTGACTGAAGGATATCATAAAGGCCATTAAAAGTGTGCATAGTCTTCTGACAATCACATTTCAAATATATGATACTTGTTTACATCAAAATGTGAAGTATTTATATTAAGTTGTACTTTATATATTAAGATGTACTGAAAAAGAGCGTTACGACGATCTGTCAGGAATTATTAACATATTTGTGTATCTTAACGGTTGTGTGAGTGATGGTTGTAGCGCAATATGTGAGACTAGTTTTTCTATAGTGAAAATCACAGCGACTCATGTTAAACTGGGTTACCTTTAAAACTATCTACTAAATGTTGTTCTGAACAAAACAGGTACGAGATGGGTCAAAATATGGTTAAATGGAGTCTTGTTCTACACAAGCTAGTCTTTGTACTAGTTGAATGGTCTGGTGCTTTATGTTTCTGGCGTTTGTGGAAAAAATGCAGAGGCCTGATGGCATTCTGATTCCATAACTGCTTGCATCATAAAACATCAACTTATGTGACATGGACGTGTTTTACACATATTATCCCAGTGTACTTCATACTGATAGCCATTTTCTTTCAGATCAGACATGAAAACTTAAAAAGCTGATCGATTTTTGGGATAGAGTGACCGAAGAAGTGATAGTTGTATTTAGTATTCACCTGTTGGTTCAACACGATTCCCCTTATTGAGTTTTAGATATCCTAGAACGTAATGGCTAATAAAGTCATTCAGAACGGTTCGACGGGAAAAATGTTGATGATTATTCTGTAGTTTTGTATTATGATGTACCAATTGTTGGGATGATCCAGAAAGTTTCTCGCAATAGAGATGACAAATTCAGGAAACATTAAGAAGCATTTTATTCAATCCGCGTTTAACTAGACGTTTTGCTAGAAACATCATGAAAACGAAGTCACATGTAGAGGTTCTGATTGGCTGATTACTACACTGCTACTATGTTTAGTAGTATTCTAGAATTTCCAGGAAAACCCAAGGACTTCCAAAATACTATAAAAATCCCATGTTTTCTGTACATAAACGAACCTTTGGAGTAAAGTGCTCCTCGTATATTTTGTGCCTTTTCTCTCGTGTTTAAGTGGCTGAGTAGAGTTAGCTTGAGGGTTACAAGACTAGCTTAGGATCCGAGTATATCGTTCAATCAACTAGACTTATCACCAACAAACTGTTTGAAGTTAACCTTGGTTTTGTTCTTATTTGAATAATACCCTTTGATAATGTGGTTTTTTGTATTTTATTAACACAATTCTCTCATATCTATTGTCGTTTAATACTTCCATTTCATTTTGAGAAACGCATTTACTGATATCCTATTGTATTGAGAGTTTTCTTATGTGTTATAAATGAAAAAAGGTAATATTGTAGTTAATAAAAACTAAGGTAGGAAAAACTAATTTATTACTAATCGCCAAATTACACAGTGCTTTTATTCATCATATTTCAGTTGTCCGGTACATACTTCTTCAATCTTCGAATTCGGTTGTCACTCCAATTCCTCTTTGTTGCCCTATCTGTTCTCTTCAATTAAATTTTCTCAAACCTCTGCTGAAGGCATTCCACTTCTGATTGGTATTACATGCTACTTATATCTGTCAATATAAATAGTATACATCACAATATTATCTTAATCATGTAAATGTCAATCGTAAAATTAATTTACAGTTTGATTTAGTTCACATTGTTAATATCATTGGTTTCATTTTTATTTATTTATTTGTTTAAATAAAGGTTCTAGATCATGTCCTGGTGCTCGTATAGCTAGTTTATTAATTGAACAAATTTTAACAGCTATTAATCAAGAATTTCTTATTCAAAATATTACTCAATCACCATTTGAAACAATTAGTCCAGGTAATCAAGAAAGTCTAACACCTTTTGGAATTACACGAACACCACATAAATCTATGTATATATTTGTGACAAAATTAAATGGAAATAGAAGAACAAGTATTTAATGCATAACATTTAATTAGATTATATTGAAAGATTATTTAGTTTGAATTAATTATAATAATGACTTGATCAAATTGTGAAGTAAATATGATTTCGTTGATTTAACTCATTTTGATAGTAATAATGTATCCTCTTTACATATTATTTATATGATTCAGTGAAGATTTTATGTAAGAAAATATGTTTTTTAAGATTCACAATACTCGACATTGAATTATTTCATCCTTTGATCACTAAGAATTTTTAGAAGGGGGTTTTGTGGAGATTTTAGTAATTTTATATAGTTGAAATCATGAGTCAGTGGTCTAGTGGTGAAGTGATCGCGTGCGAAGCTGATAGGTCATGGGTTTGAATCTCGCGAGGCGGGATCGTAGATGCGCACTGCTGAGGAGTCCCATAATAAAACGAAACGGCCGTCCAGTGTTTCCAGGTTTTCCATGGTGGTCTCATGATTTCAACTATGAAAATACTAAGAATTTGATAATGAGAATAGGGAAATTGCTTAGCAGATCCATAAGTGTAATATATTACCTTCATTGAATGAAAAAAACTTATAGTTTGGTTGAAAAATTTTGTGACAGTTGGTTTAGTATTTAGGGAGTTTATTCTGTCAAGAAGTAGAAGAAGTGTCATTAAGAACCATGGAGCAGTGGGTAGCTGTTTCCTTCTAATATGTTGATCCTAAACAATGCATAACTTTGACCACTATGTTGAGAGTAAAAATGACATCGCTGATTAAATTGGATTATTATTGCGTCATGTTACGAAGTGTTGAAGTTAGAGTTGTAAATCGCTAGACTAGAACTTAGTGACCTAAATTTGACGATTACGTTGCAGGTATTAAACGTGGTGTACCTGATACCTGGTGGATGTACACATCTATAAAGTTCTACATTCAGATGAAAAAGTTTTCCTGTACTCAATTCTTAGCAAAACCCTCTTTCAAAGTGATTTCAGTGTCTTATTATATAAACTCATGATCGTTTCTAATCAATTTTGTCAAAGCTAAACACTGGCTACTCCCAATTGAATTCTTCTCATCAGCTCCAAACATTATAAAACAAGAGAAGAATAAAATATCCTAATTATGAAAGACCAAGTTAAAAATTCAAATTTTAACAATAAATCAGCGAAAAGAAATACGATGATAGTAATAAACATCATAATGGTATAATGGTATTTATACTTGGAAAATCTAACCATATAACATAAGTAATAATAACAGGCGTAAAGAGAAGTTTGTCATACTTTTCTTCTGTATAAATAGGCCTTTACAAAGTAAATTAACTGAGCTGTACATTGTCTGTGAACTAATTCAACATAATCATTTATCAAAACGCTTAATAGTAAGATATTAACTGACATATGATTAAAATAATTCAAACTGATTCGTTCTATTTGTTTGTTTATTATTTTTACCTCTTAGTGTAATTTAATCCAGTTATATAAAAGCATTCGTTTGTGTTCAACTATATTAAATATGAAGGGAAACATTTTACTACTAGAAAACTATTATGTGTAACGGATTTCAAAATAATAAGTCCATTGAATAAATACCGGATTGTAATTAGTGCTGTTTATTTAATCAATCCTTAAGGACTGTACAAACATAACAGTGGTTACCACTAAATAATTAGTCAATGTAAATAGCTCAACCCTACAGGACGTCGTTCTCAGACCAAAACACTCACTAGTAGGATTTCAGGTTGTGAAGCTAGGTGGGAGGGGGGGTTTAGATCGCACAGGGAACATCAGTTTCATCAAAAGTGGAGATACGTCTTACTGAAGAGTCTTAACAAGCACGATGTATAAGTTCAGGGTATCTTCCGGATCACATCCACTCACATTAAATAAAAATATGTTAAATCAAAGTTATTCAACTCCTGTGAAGTGAACATATCACTGTTTGCATAAAGTAAATACTAACACAAACCGATTATCCTGTGCAGCCACATTATTATTTGTGGGCTATAAGTATTTTCATTTTCAACCTATCTTTGGTTCGCAAGTTGTAATCATATTTCAAAGAAACTAATAGTTTAACCCTTACGGTATGTTTGAAATTTTCTACGAATTTGTATATAGCTAAGAAAACTATACTAACTACCTACTACAACAGACCTACATATGGAGATCCATTTTGTAGGGAAATGAGTTGCTTCTTAAGGATCCTATTCTAACCAGCCTTTGGAATGAAATAATTTTCAATCACAATTCTAAATTTCCAGAACACTAGAATATAATTTAATTAGGCGCTATAATAACGTCACGTTTAATGGCCATTTCTTTAGGATACCTCAGGAAATTCTTTAAGTACTCCAACATTTTTCTTCAGTTACATCGTCTTCTGGAGTCGTGACAAAACATCTACTTTCCTTTGTCAAGTGTTGATGAAGAGCAGTCTTTATCTTTGACTGAAATTTACATTATTTCTTGCGTTTTTGTTTCAAATAACATAGGTGAAACAGATTATAACACATAAAAAGCCAGATAACGCATATATATATATATATATATATATGTATTACATTTTCAGTCTGAGGAACTGAAGTTCATAGTATTCTTTTAAAACTACAAGTATAATACATGAAGAATGAAAATCCATATTATTTATCCGATCTAAGAATTTAAGGATTTGCTTAGACATATGGTCGTAAAGATGGTCGCTGGTATACATTATTAGACAACTCTACTGGCTGGAACTTCTTACGAACTAAACCCGAGACCAAAAAAGCAGAAGTCTATAATGAAGGGGTGTAAAATTGAATTTGGATGAGGTCGATGTATCGAAGTGTACGCAATCTGAACTGGCTAGTTGTCGTAGATAAGTAGTACAGAGTACCAGAATATGGTTTGGTACGGAATGTTAATCAAGTTACTTTAGCTAGGGATATGTCAATTAAAACTAATAAGGTCACCATCAATGTCAAAGACTTACGAAACTAATTATTCCAACGACTTATTTACGAATACATTTATTATCATTGAGTAACCTTTATCCCAACATCAAGAATAGCATCAGTAACCAGTTTTCCCTACAGTATGGTGACTATTGAAGCTATACTTCATCACAGTTCCCAGAAACTACTGTAATAGTTATGCTGCTTACAAATTGTCTGTTAGTGTTTCAGCTTTTTGTTTTGCGCTAGTAATCAAATTGCCAAATATTGTTGTTTTCCATTTCAACTAACTGAGGTACTCACTGGAATATATATGACTATATACATTCAATTTCATGATACCAGAAGTATTCACGATATGTAAACATTTTTTGTGCTGAAATCGTAGTTAACTGCACCACCACAAGTAACATACAGTTAAATATTTCCATTGATGAAAAAATGATCATATTATTAGTCCTTAGTAAAACTGGAGAGTTCAAAAAGCGCTAAAGAAACCATCAGATAGATTACATTCTTCTTTATCTATATGTGATATATTACAATGAGTCTTTTCATTTAGGAGTTAACCTAATTTCTTACTCTGAAATATCTCTAAATATTGTATGTTAATATGTCATTCTTTTTTTACATTAATGTGGAATTGTAAGGCGTAATAATTTGCTGGTTTTTATCAATTTAATCCACTGAATATGCTTTGGTTTCTTTGATGTTTATTCGATTAACAAAACAAAACTAAAACGGTTAAGATTCATTTGAACTGATGTGAAATATGATTCTCCTAAGTGAGTGTTCCTATTCATAATTTAATATCAAACGACAAAAATGCTTGTATTTTTCACTAAACGAGGGATTCATAGGATTGTGGATGCTCACTACTGAGGAGTCCCAGTCTAGGACGATGTGGCTGTCCATTGTTTCCAGTTTTTTAGTAGTGGCCTAACATTGATCGGTTCATGATCTCAATAAAATTCAACAATCTCTACGACCTTATACTGATTCATTTTATGTTTGTACATGTGAAATTGATTGAACCAGAAATGATAACTAATTATTACTTATCATCAGAAAAAGGGGTTTTCTGGAAATTTTAGTAATTTTACATAGTCGAAATCATGAGTCATTTGAAGCTAAATCACCATTGAAAACCTGGAAGCACTGGACGGCCGTTTCGTCCTACTGTGGGACTCCTCAGCAGTGCACATCCACGATCCCGCCTCACGTGATTCGAACCCAGGACCTACCAGTCTCGCGCGCGAGTGCTTAACCATTAGACCACTGGGCCGGCTGGCATCCAACGGTGTTAATTTCTAACTTCAACCAATCCATAAAGTTGATCAACCATTCACCAATGTCTTCAGTGATTTGACATCTCTTAATCGATCTGGTTGAACTCCACTGGTTACTGCTTCTCACTAGAACTCCAGGAAATACCTCATTGGAGTCAGTCACTAGTGAGCATATGATCATTATCAGAAGGGGGTTTTGAGGAGGAGTCCCACAATACAAAGAAACGGCCGTCCAGTGCTTCCAGGTTCTCGATGGTGGTCTAGCTTCAATTGACTTATGATTTCAACTATATAGAATTACTGATTAATCCAAAACTCTGCAGACCCGTCTTCTAAATTCAATTCATTTACATACATCATTGTTTTTAATACTGATTGGGTAATGTATATACGATATGTTTTATTTTCTCTATCATAACAATTACTGGCAGATTCTAATTTGTCGTTTAATTATGGCAATCACTTATTATTAGTTAAAACGTTTAAAACTTTTTTCAAACTAACAAAAACCGGATAGATTCTGTAAATTTACCAATCTGATACAAATTTTTAAAGTAGGATTCAATAATTATTGATCGGCGAATCACATGCTCACATGTGTGAATACAAGTCAAGGAGAATCAGAGTTAAAAGTAAATATAACTCACTCATAACAAATTCCAATAGATTTATATAATCCACATTCTGAGGAACTAATACTTCATCAAATAATAAAATGACTACTTAGAGATACTTTTAAGTAGTTTAGCTTATCAGTTTAATTTCGAGTGGATTTGTTTACTTTTTTCCAGGACTTCAAAATATTGTCAATGAGAAGATAATCATTGATACCTAAGTACTAAATAAGCAGTTGTTTTTAGCATTTATCACACAAATTCCTACTGTATGCAGATAAGTCTGTGGATATTGTTGAATCATGTTGTGTTACATCATAAACTGACCATAGTTACATAATCATCGAAAAAAAGACAGCCCCAGGCAGCTAGTTCGTTCTGTCATATGACACATCAGCTATGTATTCC